CCCTCTCAACCCCCCCAAGAAAAGTTATATAGACAGTTAACGTTACTATACTAATTCTCCTAATCTCAATGTCCTGTGTTATTGTAGGCAAGAATTACCAGGAGACTCGAGTACGAAAGAGAGAGAGGAAACAGCCGGGGACGATCCCAAACCTGCCCTATCTGACCTGGGAGAAAACGGGACAGGCTCCTGCAGGTCCATACTCGGTAAGTCATCATATACTCATCTGGGCCGGTATTCATGCTCAAACTCAAATTCTGTGCTCACAGCCAATTTCTTATTCCATCATTAAACGATTTGAAAATTTTTTGATAAACTAAAATGCAAATACTATTTTCAAAGTTTGTATTTGACTTCTTGATTGTACCACCTGATTTAACCCTTTCACCACTGTAAACCATATAATGGACTCATCCATAATCAATGTATGGTAGAGTCTACTAAAGTTACATAGGGGTGAAAGGGTTAAGCAAGTTACAAGAAAAGCAGTTAGAGCACAGTATCCATGCCTGAGCACAAGAATGGTGTCATGAATGCGGGCCCTTTTTACCCTTTGGCCCTCGGAATTCAAGAAGGGAAGACAATCAAAATTAAACTGTAGTTGCATGACTACGTGATATTTCTCTTTCCTTTCCTCATTTATTTGTATATACTATTTTGTTTCAGCCATGTCTGTCTTTAGTCACTAAATGACTGTGATCATATTTATACTATTTTATGATCCAAATCATAGCTTTGTCGCATTTATCTGCGGCATATAGCACATAGTCAAACAACGATGTTTCGAACTTTGCGGAACATTGAATTTGAAACATTGAGACTTTCACTCACAAATGTTTAACTTCAAAATCTTGGAGATTCTGTATTATATGTATATATACTGCATGAGACTGAATATATTATTGAGTGATGGAACACAAGGGAAGAAATTAAATATGAAATCTATAAATGTTGGATTTAATGTAAGTTGAAAATATGTTACGTGTACTTATACACTATATTGCTAGTATGTTTAGGAAATTTCAGTGTTTTCAGGTAATTGCTTTACTTGAGTTATTTATTACTTGCAATCTTCAATGTTTTCCTAACGATCGGACCTTGATTGTAGTTCGAATCAGCAAGAAATTTGACTCATAAAACTTTATATATTGAATATCAGTGGTGTTATGTAAGGAAAAAAAGCAAACAGACTTTATCGTAAGTTCGACACATCAGGAAATTTGAATCTTCGAAGTGCTATTTTGTAAAAGTTTGACTCGGTAGTTGGCAGCATATCATGGTATTGACTGGAAAAACCTGGAAGTTTTCCCATTCCTGTGTACGATAGAACAGTCCAAAGTAAGAAAGGGCCGGTGTCATAAATGTCTATCTTACACACAATTTCACATACAGGACGTCACAATGAGACAATAAAGTCCGAGTATCCAGAACATCCTGATGCCACAATGCAGAAATAGTGACACCTATTTTGTGGTTTCCAATTATATAAGCTTATTCTAAGTGATTGGAACAAGATAATTTAAAAATACTCTTCCATGAACAGGAGTGTAGAATGAGGAAATTCCATCTTCAGGATTTTCAATGATGCAAAAGACTCTGTATAAGCCTCTGGGTAATAAATTGCCTAATTTGTAAAACCCTTGGATGAAATATTCCCTATCCAACACCCCTGGGCAGGAAAGAGACTTATATTGACTCCTGCAGGTGATGGGTGTGGTAGTTTCCTTGAACCCTTGTTGCCTGAGAGCAAAAGCATACTTGCCAACTCCCCCTATTTTGGAGGGAGACAACTCTCCCTATTTTGGAGGGAGACCCCCAGTTTTGGACCTTCAGTTTAGCAGTTTCAACCAGTGAATTTGCTGAACTATTCTTATACTCTAAAGTCTTAAATGATTTTATCTAAATAAACAACCCAAAAGATGGCATTTTTAAGTGTAAATTTTTCCCTTGCGGCTATTATACACATATTTAATTTTGAACATGCAGAATCTGGGTTTGGTATTACAGTTTCTGTGATGTATTCAATTCTGACACCTGGTCACTGTAAATGAGCTGTAGGTAATACAGACCAATAACAAGTTAACACCTATACAACATATGTCTCACTTCAAGTATAAAATTAACAAAAAAACATTAGTATCTTGGATAACCTCCCTTGATGTTTTTTCGTCATTGGATGGGTAGGCATTTCAAGCACAAACAACTTTGATATATTCCTTAAATTTTGCATGTAACTGAATGTCAACGGACAGAGGGACAAGGCCCGATAGAAAAAAATCTTTAAAATTTACCTTCCTTACAAATGGAGAGATTCTGATCAAATTTTTAGTAAAGTATATTTTGGCAAAGAAGACTCAATTTTGTATAAATGGAAAGTGTGGAGGGGGCAGAGGGGTGGGGCCCAATAGGGGAAAGAAATTGGATATTTTTAATGTTTAAAATGTTTCTCTTTCCTATTCAAATTGAGGAATTTTAACCAAATTTGGCGAAGAGCATCCTAAAGCATTGTGGAATTAATGTTATTTAAATGGATGATGGGTCCCCCTGAGAGATGAGGGGCAGGGCCCAATAGGAGAAATTAGGTTATTTAGGTAGAACATGGGGCCCAATAAGGGTCAGTCACAGGTTTCTAAGAGACAGAGCCATTATTTGAAAGTAGTTGCAGTACGTATTATATTCTATTTAACCCTTTCACCACTGTAGATCATAATGGACTCATCCGTATCAATGCATAGTAGAGTCTACTAAAGTTACATAGTGGTGAAATGGTTGATGAGAATATTTGCCCATGAATGTTTAATTATGCAGGTTAGCAATGCAGGCCCTCTAGGCCTCTTGTTTCTGACCAGAAATGTATATGTGCATTTGTAATCTCATATATCAGAACCCTTTATCGTGGTTGCTGTAATTTTGACTGATAACAGATTGAACTGTATCGGTGAGTTTCAACCCATAGCAGTCAAGGTCGTATTTCCGTACAGAAAATTAACCGCTGTGGTTGTATTTAAGTGTCAATATTGTACTATTTCGGGTTACGGCGATTTTTTAACTGATAACGTATTTCCTGCCTGACAACAGGGAAATGTCCACACACCGACAGGATTAAGATAAGACAAATACTTATATTGCAGTCTATAGATTAATCAAACAGAGTTGAAAGCTAAAAGGAAAATATTTTTATCTCCTTGTCAGTAGTTTCAAATATCACTCTGTCACGTTCTATAATATCTGGTATTACATAGGGCCAAGCTCGGGGTTTGGATATTTTTAATAAAATATCGGCCTCTATATCAATATTGATGATACAATACAAACATATAATTCATTAACATTCAATTCTATCATACATGTAAAAACTTATAAATTGGCCAAGTGATCATATTTCATATCTATATTTTTCAAGTGTTCTGAAGTTGAAACTGAATTCTCTTAGATCTAAACTACAATGGTTTATCTATAATTTTTGTGAATGACCGCGAGTTCTTGATAAATTATCATGTACAAAGAATCTGTTGCTGACTCTCTCATCAAATTTATTGTTAACCCTTTCACCACCCCTTTGGAAGTATAGTAAACTCTGCCATGCATTGATCTGGACGAGTCCATTTTGGTCTATAGTGGTGAAAGGGTTAATAATCTTAAAATTATTTAGACTGACCAACAGATTGAACACAAACATTGCCTGTTTCTGTACCAATGGATTTAATAAAAGGAACATTTAAAAACATAATAAGGCACATTACATTTATTGGTGTCGTAAGTTTCACACATCCATCAACATATAAAATACTCAATGGTTAACCCTTTCACCACTGTAGACCACAATGGACTCATCCAGATTAAAGCATGGTAGAGTCTACTAAAGTTGCATAGGGGTGAAAGGGTTAAGATTACTCATTATACTACTATGCTACTCAAAATATTCTCTGTTCATTGGAATTTCTTTAAAATCACCTTCAATGTCTTTTGTTTTTTGACTCTTTACTTTTTCACCCCTGACATTTCATAATGAACTATTCTAACCTTTGAAGTGGAAGAGTTCAAATGTGTCTTCAGGGGTAAATGAGTTAAAAAACAACTGCCATAAATGGAAGATAATGTGAATTTTAATGAAAATTTTGATAATTTTTAAATCTGTATTTTTAGCAGCTTGCCTAAAGGAATACAAGTTGATGTATTCTTATACCTTATAATCTAGCTATCGAACAATATTGTGATTGTAATATTTTGAAAGTCTAGAGTATAGTTTCACAAAGTATATCTTCCCATTACTACCAAATATTTAAGGTACTTAAAATCAATGATTAAAAAATACACTCACAGAATTTGTAAAATTTAAAAATTTAAAATTAGCAGTTCTACATGCTTAACTACGGTATATAGGCAATACTATATAGCAAAAGTCTAAAGTTTGAAATGAAGCTGAAGTATCGGATTTCTGCATACATGCCAGACAAACTCTTACCGACCTCCGATAAAGTCTCACTGCAGGGGACATGATAATTAACCCTTTCACCCCTATGTAACTTTAGTAGACTCTACCATGCATTGATCTGGATGAGTCCATTATGGTCTACAGTGGTGAAAGGGTAAAGGAAAGTCATCAAAATGTCATGTTTTTTAATGAAAGCTTGGTGAACCATTTTCCTGAAGTTGTTTGCTTGAAGTTTTACGAAATTTCACAATTTTTGTAGAGATGATTCACAAAACACTCTGCTAAAGTCTTAATAGAGTTCCTTACTTAATTATTTTGTACTAAATATTTAGATAATTTTACACCATGACAAATGCTGCAAATAAAACTTACCGTATTTTAATCCAAATTTCCCTTTAAAACATTGTAAAGCTCATAGATTGGTTTCCCGAAAATCAGGCATGTCTGTGTCTGGATCATCAGAATTACGTCTGTGGTACAGGAACACCAGAGCATGAATACTTAACCCTTTCACCCCTATGCAACTTTAGTAGACTCTCCCATGCATTGATCTCGATGAGTCCATTATGGTCTACAGTGGTAAAAGGGTTAAGTTTTTGGTTTTTTTTGCTTGAAAATGTAAACTATGCAGAATTTCACATAAAAAATGGATGAATTTACATGAGGTCACTGAGGAAGGCACATTATAGAACTACAAAAAGGCATTTTTAATGAGATCATTTTCTTAAGGCATCACTTTGGATTTCATAAAATTAATACTAATTGTAACATTCAAAGTATGAAAGTAAATAACTTTTAATATATGACAAATTTCTATAAT